TCTCTCCCTCTCTCTCCCTCTCTCCCCCCATCTTCTTCCTTCCTCCCTTTGTGCTGGGCACTAGGATGCAAAGATAATTCAAGATGTATTCCCTGCTACCTAGAAGCTCACACTGTAAATGGTGGCCATAGATGTATAAAAGTACAATAAACTGCATGTTCTAGAGGTGATATAGAAAAGTTGTTAGTGCCTCATAGTATGTACTGAGGGATCATGGAAGGCTTTCAGGAATGTGTTGTTTGCTTTGAATCTTAAAGTATTTGTTAGAAGTGGGCTGGAGAGATGGTTAAGCAGTTGAGAGCACTGGCTGCTCATGACTGGGATTGGTTCCTAGCACACACATGGCAGCTAATAATCATCTGAAACTCTGGTTCCAGGGGACCTAGACCTTCTTCTGGCCACTGTGGGCAGTGCATGCACAGGTACACTTACATACCTGCAGGCAACAAACATACACATAAAATAAGTAAATAAAAACTTTAGAAAGTATTTGTTAGAGGAGAGCCACACAACTGGGTGTTGGGAAACAGGCTGGCTTCCAGGCAGAGTTAGGTAAGTAAGAAATTGCATGATGTGTTTAGGGAATTGCAAAACGTTCAGCACTGCTGGAGGATAATATTTGAGAAACAGTGACAAGGTAGAAATCATGGTGGGGTTTGGGTATTTTCTCTAAGCTGATATCTTGTTGACTTTAATTGTGGACAACGATCAGACTGGGTAAATAAATCATCCTGGCAGCTCTTTCTCCATCACAGAACCTCAACTCCTCTAGTAAGGAATGGGGGTGTGGTGGCTTGTGTGTGAAAAGAAAGCCTAGTATGTCAAGGTATATAAGAAAGGAGATGAGAGGAAATTACAGGTGAAGAAAGGAAGGCACTTTTATAAGGATGGCTTGGAATATTTATTAGTTTTTCTAAAAATTATGAAGGATAACATAAAAAATCTACACAAGCTGGATACTCAAGGTATAGTTGCATCTGCCCACACAGGAAACTACTTTGTATACTTAATTTAACTCCAAATGCACTTTGTTGTGCTCGACTAGACAGTTTTGTGTTCTTTCTAAACAGGTGGAGCGTAATTTAACCTCCTAGAAAACAAGAAGAGTTTTTGCTCCAAGAAGAGAAGTTTAATTTCTCTCCCTTTCTGGAGATCGAGCTAAATCTTGCATTGATATTTTGTCTCCCTCAGCGAGGAAATGCAGACTCCCAGGAAGAGGAATACAGGTAAGGGGTCGGGAAGCACAGGCTCTGGAGCCCATGGGACAAAGGTCTGACCTTCCTCTGCTATGTGGTAATTAGGGATCCTGCACAAATGACCTAACCTCAAACAGACCTGGTATTTGAACACCTAATTCATGGAGTTGTTGGGGGATTATGAGATTGTTTATAAGCAGTTACGCGCAGGCACAACCAACCTTCTTTAAGAGCACATGTAATAAAAGTAGCTATGAAGGTCACCTAAGCAATTAAAAGCATGAAAGATGGCTTACCCTTTTCTGGCAAAGGTTTCTGGTGATTTCAATAGAGCAAGTGAAGAAATTTGCTTCTCGTCTTGTATTTTCAGCTGTATGGGCCGTTTTACCCCCCAGAAAATATCCAACACTCCTTCAAGGATCAGTTGTCCATCTTCAGTCTAAGAAAGAAACCAACAACCACCGTTAATTCTTATTGCATCTTTATAGAAAGTAAATGCCTTAACTTAAAGATGTGGAAATTAATCCCATAGGAGATATTATTAGGCTTAAACATTTCCCAGGATGAATTGTATGGCTTCTTAGTTTATCTGAAGAGTAATTTTAATTTTGAAACACTATTTTATTTT